GCGGACGACCCGCGCGCGTCGCTGGGACCCCGCCCGGGGCGACCAGCGCGCGTCGCGGGGACTCCGCGCTGCGCTGCGCCCGCAGCCTTGGATTTTGGAGTGCGCGGGCAAAGAGGAAGGAAAAGAAGAGCCGAAAGCGGGCGCGATCCTCGCAAGAGGCGTGCCGACATGGGCGTCGCGACGTGCGGACGCTGCCGTCGGGGTTCCCGCGGAAGCTGCCTGCGGCGGCCACGCCCAGTGTCACGTGTGTTCGGACAGGCATGCTCGACACTTACACTAGGCGGTTCCATGATCGCATTCATGCAAATATATTCACTCGCGCGCAGACCCATTCATACTCAGATTCCCTCGCGCTCTGACTCACCCGCGTTCTTTCTCTCGTAATCAGATCAATCGTAATCCTTTGCGTTGTGTACCCCGCCACATTTCGGCACACCCCTCATGCGGTTCGTGGCCCCATAGGGAGCGCCACCGAAGAAGATACTCCCAATTGCGATACTCACAACTGCATATGGTTGGGTCCTTCGCCAGGATAATTTTTAATACTGCATCCCTGCATGTTTAGTACATGAACCGCACGCGGAGCATGAATTAGAAACGGCACTGTACTGCACAGCTGGCGTCGAAGGCTGCGCGCGCCGCAGGGAAGGTCCCTGCAATGCTCCGAGGACGACGTATCCGCACATCCTGGGCCTGCCGGCCCTGCTCCTCCGCGCGCTTGGACGCCCGAGCTCTAGCCGGGAGAGCTCTGGTAACCGGGATGCCTCCAGTCTGGATTTGGGTCGGGCATGCCCTCCTACAAACGGATGTTGGGCGAAACACTTTGACATAGTCAGGAATACACACACACACACACACACACACACACACACACACACACACAACAAAACAAAAAAAAAAAAAAAAAAAAAAAAAAAAAACGGCAAAGCAACCTAACAGCGATATGTAGAAGCATATCTGAAAGCATTCCCCTTAAGATTCAGATGAAAATCCAGTTGTAGAATTCTGCTGTTCTCGCAGTCGTAGTCGCATTCGCGATGACAGTCGCAGCGGCAACGGCAGTCACAGCAGCCTCAGCCTGCCTCAGCCTCAGCCTCAGCCTGCCTCAGCCTCAGCCTGCCTCAGCCTCAGCCTCAGCCTCAGCCTGCCTCAGCATCAGCCTGCCTCAGCCTCAGCCTCAGCCTGCCTCAGCCTCAGCCTCCTGCTTCAGCCTCAGCCTCAGTCTGCCTTCAGCCTCGGCCTCAGCCTCAGCCTGCCTCAGCCTCAGCCTGCCTCGGCCGCACATCAGCCTGCCTCAGCATTCAAAATGTGGCCCAGGAATGGAGTTCTGGGAACTAGAAGAACACGAAGTGGCCTACAGTTGGCTCCGGGCATTCAAAATCATGCCCAGGAATGGAGTTCTGGGAACTTGAAGAGCACGAAGTGGCCTACAGTTGGCTCCGGGCATTCAAAATGTGGCCCGGGAATGGAGTTCTGGGAACTCGAAGAGCACGAAGTGGCCTACAGTTGGCTCCGGGCACTCAAAATGTAGCCCGGGAATGGAGTTCTGGGAGGTCGAAGAGCACGAAGTGTGTGACTGTTGACGAAAAACGAGCCCGGCTCTGTTCCCGGTTCTCCAGAATGTGGCCCGGGAATGGAGTTCTGGGAAGTCGAAGAGCACGAAGTGTGTGACTGTTGGCGAAAAGCGAGCCCGGCTCTGTTCCCGGTTCTCCAGAATGTGCCCGGGAATGGAGTTCTGGGAGGTCGAAGAGCACGAAGTGTGTGACTGTTGGCGAAAAACGATTCCCGGTTCTCCTCCCCGGCACCCGCCCAGACCCCCTGAGAGTCATGTAGTTGTCCTCTTATTTGACACCACTAGAAACCTTCAGCAAAAAGCTGTTAGGTTAAATCAAAATTATCCCGCCCAAGCAACCTAACAGCGATGTGAGGGGCATATCTGGAAGCCTTCTTTAAGATTCGGTTGAGAATCCAGGTTGTAGATTCTGCTGTTCTCGCAGTCGTAGTCGCATTCGCGATGACAGTCGCAGCAGTGGCAACGGCAGTCGCTGTCACAGCCTCAGCCTCAGCCTGCCTCAGCCTCAGCCTCAGCCTCAGCCTGCCTCAGCCTCAGCCTGCCTCAGCCTCAGCCTCAGCCTGCTTCAGCCTCAGCCTCAGTCTGCCTTCAGCCTCGGCCTCAGCCTCAGCCTGCCTCAGCCTCAGCCTGCATCAGCCTCAGCCTCTGCCTCAGCCTGCCTCAGCATCAGCCTGCCTCAGCCTCAGCCTCAGCCTCAGCCTGCCTCAGCCTCAGCCTCAGCCTGCTTCAGCCTCAGCCTCAGTCTGCCTTCAGCCTTGGCCTCAGCCTCAGCCTGCCTCAGCCTCAGCCTGCAGCAGCCTCAGCCTCAGCCTCAGCCTGCCTCAGCATCAGCCTGCCTCAGCCTCAGCCTGCCTCAGCCTCAGCCTCAGCCTGCCTCAGCCTCAGCCTCAGCCTGCTTCAGCCTCAGCCTCAGTCTGCCTTCAGCCTCGGCCTAGCCTCAGCCGCCTCAGCCTCAGCCTGCATCAGCCTCAGCCTCAGCCTCAGCCTGCCTCAGCATCAGCCTGCCTCAGCCTCAGCCTCAGCCTGCCTCAGCCTCAGCCTCAGCCTGCTTCAGCCTCAGCCTCAGTCTGCCTTCAGCCTTGGCCTCAGCCTCAGCCTGCCTCAGCCTCAGCCTGCATCAGCCTCAGCCTCAGCCTCAGCCTGCCTCAGCATCAGCCTGCCTCAGCCTCAGCCTCAGCCTGCCTCAGCCTCAGCCTCAGCCTGCTTCAGCCTCAGCCTCAGTCTGCCTTCAGCCTCGGCCTCAGCCTCAGCCTGCCTCAGCCTCAGCCTGCTTCAGCCTTCAGCCTCAGCCTGTCTCAGCATTCAAAATGTGGCCCGGGAATGGAGTTCTGGGAACTCGAAGACACGAAGTGGCCTACAGTTGGCTCCGGGCATTCAAAATCATGCCCAGGAATGGAGTTCTGGAAACTCGAAGAGCACGAAGTGGCCTACAGTTGGCTCCGGGCATCCAAAATGTGGCCCGGGAATGGAGTTCTGGGAAGTCGAAGAGCACGAAGTGGCCTACAGTTGGCTCCGGGCATCCAAAATGTGGCCCGGGAATGGAGTTCTGGGAATCGAAGAGCACGAAGTGGCCTACAGTTGGCTCCGGGCATCCAAAATGTGGCCCGGGAATGGAGTTCTGGGAAGTCGAAGAGCACGAAGTGGCCTACAGTTGGCTCCGGTTATTCAAAATGTGGCCCGGGAATGGAGTTCTGGGAGGTCGAAGAGCACGAAGTGTGTGAATGTTGGCTTAAAACGAACCCGGCTCTGTTCCCGGTTCTCCTCCCCGGCACCCGCCCAGACCCCCCTGAGGAGTCATGATGCTCTCTTTTGAGCCTACTAGAAACCTATCAGCAAAAGCTGTTAGGTAAAAAAATCGTCCCCAGACTGTTTTGTGACTGTTTCTGGATAATCCCCCTGTAGAGGGACAGGCCCGACTGAAGTCTGGGTCCCCGACACGTGAACCCGGGAGTGACCCTGACCACATCAAGTCCCGTAAGTCGACGCCAGGGCGAGGATCAAGTCAGGTGAGGGTAACTCGATAATCTCTGAGATTCGGCGGCTCTGGAGGATGTCTCGGGCGCCCTGGAACGGATTTACCCTTGTCCTAGCCCCGTCCGACCCCGATGGTTCGGGAATGGACGCCCGAGTTGCCCGGGGTAACCCCTGTCTGGGTCCCCGACGCGTGAACCCAGGAGCTACTCCTGACCACTCCCCGCCCCGATGATTCGGGAGTGGCCGGACGCCCGAGTTTCGGTGGGGACCAAAGGGTGGGATTGCAAAGGGCAGGGTAGAGAATCAGCTCACGTAGCTGCTTGTCCTGGCGCCTCCTGGCGCCGAGAGGCGCCCATGTATCGAGGAATGGGCCCGGCGGCGGAACGGAAACCAGCTGCATGCGGCAGATTCCGTACGCCCCGCCCCCTTTCCCTATCCTACCCTTCCGAGCGGCCCGAGAGCTGTCCGGGACAACTCCGGTCCTGGGCACGCGCGCACGCGCGCACGCGCGCACGCGCGCGCACACGCGCACACGCGCACACGCGCACACGCGCACACGCGCACACGCGCACGCGCGCACACGCGCACGCGCGCACGCGCGCGCACGCGCGCACACGCGCACACGCGCACACGCGCACGCGCGCACGCGCGCACGCGCGCACACGCCCGACGCATGAGCCGGGAGCTACCCCCTGACCACCCGAGCCCCGATGGCTCGGGGCTCTGTCGGCGGCACGCACAAGGGGGGGCAGGGGGAGGGGGGGGGACGGCTTCCTGGAAGGAGGCCGCTGCTGAGGAGGCGCCGGCCCTGCGGCTGCAGGAGGCGAGGCCCGCGCCTGCTGAGAGGCAGGGGGTGCCTCTGAGAAGGCTTCCCCCCTCCCCCTTGTGCGAGTGGAGAGGAGATCTGCGCCATGGCAAGGGTTATGTTGGAGGCCTGGAGATTGGCACCAACACCAGCACAGGGGGTTGTCTCCACATGGGAAAAATGATCCTAGATTTCAGTGTTGGTGGTAATATTTCGGTCACCTTGGAAGCCAGAATATTACCACCATCACCGAGATCGGGATCGTCTTCCCTCGGTGGAGGCACACCGCCGATCTTGGTGTTGGTGTCAACCTCTAGGCCTGCGATTATGTTGCTCCCATCGTACTTAAGGACCACATCCAAGGAATAACTTCGAGCACCCAGAGAAGTGCCGGAAGAGTGCCGAAAGAGTGTCGAAACAGGGCTGGACGAGCGTCTCCCAGGGCCCGATACGCAAAGACCCTCGAGTTTCGCTACTTCGCTGGTGCTCGAAACTCTCTCCGGTGATCAGAGCTCATGCAGCTTGGGACATCCAGGGATGGCAGGGAGGGGCAGGACGGCGGGCGTGACGCGAGCGCACCTCGCTTGCCCCTGGCCGCCCTCCGCGCGGGGCCGACCCCGGCGCCGGCCCGCGGGCTGGGCGCCGCAC